AAAATATTCAATCATTAAAAGTATATGATGGTAATTATAAAAATATGTATAAATTGGCACAGCTAATTAAAGCACAAAAGCAAATTAAATATTTAAACATTTCACTAAGTTCAGCTCTAATTTTACCAGATGAATTAAAAGAAGCAATATTAACACATTCACAATCAATAATTGTTTATGAATCTTATTACAATGGAGATAATTTAGATGATTTATTATTATCAACTTTTAAAAATTTAAAGACTTTACAGTTAACATCTCATGATGATTGCAAAATAAGCTGGAAAAATATTTCACTGCCAAATATTGAATCTGTGAAGCTACATATTTATTATCAACTATCAGATTTGTCTGATTTTATTAGTATCAATGGAAAAAATCTTAAAAATCTAGATGTTTATAGTTATAATGATGGTGAACCTTTGAGAAAGCTATTTCAATCAATTGCACAATCTTGCAAAAATTTAGAAGATTTATCTATAACATGTAGGAATAAATTGGACCAGGAATTAATGGAAGTATTCAATAATTGCATTAAATTAAAAAGCATCAAGTTTTATGATGGTATTTATGGTACAATTAATTGTGATAAAATATTAACAGTATTAATTGAAACATTACCAAAAAACTTAAAGTCAATAGCCTTTACTTATAAGGTTTGTAAGATTAGTAACAATCTTTTGGATATTCTAATGAAGAATTGGAGAGGACCCAAACCTTTAGCAATAACATTATATAATTTGCTAGACAATGATTTAAGAGTTTTAAAAAAATATCAAGATTTTGGGTTTTTAAATAGTATTATTTTTATAAATGTCATTAGTGAGGAGTGAAGAAAAATCTGGAAGATTGTAATTTTATATTCAGAATTAGGATTTAAGGCTGATTTGTTGATCAAAATACCTAACTTCAAATCAAATCTTTTTATTCTATTTTTTACTTTATTTTCATTTCTTATTTTATTTTTATTCACATTTTTACTATTTATTTGTATTGCGCTTTTATTTTTATTCGTATAATGTTGAAATTAGCGTCACGGTTAGAATGTTACGTCATAATTAAAGTGCGATAACGCGGTTAGAATGCTAGATTGCAATGAAGTTGTTACTAATCAATTTAAAATTGTATATAAGAAGCTCAAACTCGACATACTTGTAAAATAACTTTGTATAAAAGTTTTACAATAAAAATTAACTTAGAATAAGTTAATAAATTAGTTTCGACTAAATAAAACATTTTCTTAAATCACTAAACCAAAATTATTCGCTAATAAAACTAATTATTTAGTAATACCCAATTCATTCTGATCTACATAACCACAATTTTATATTTTTATCATGCTCTCCCAAATAATAATTGGTGATACTATATTATATGATGAATGACACCTGATGGTCATTTACTATTACTGTTATTGATGATAAACATCAATTGAATGGTAAAGAATAGTTAATTTTCATTTGATATTATTTGTGGTTAGCATTAATTTGATGTTAAGGAGATTGGTGGTAGTGTTCCTATTCACATTGATTAGCATATTTGAAATTGGAGTCATAATTTTTATATATTTGAATATCCATAACACTTTTGAATATTTGTGATGCTTTCAAGTATTTGTAACACTTTCAAGTATCCATAACACTTTTGAATATCAGTAATAGTAGCACTTTCAAATATACATCCATAAATAGTAATATTTATTTACATTTGCTCCTAAAAATGTCTTCAGTATCAGTAAATGATGACATTACTTTAACTAATGATAAAGAAGAAACAATTTCTAATTTTTCATCCCCTTTAACCTGCTTGCTAACTTTTTTGAGCTTTTGTAATCTGGTTTTTTTTTTTGCTTTTTTGGTAAAGCTTACAGTTCCTGATTTTTATATCTTCAATAATTTGTCTTCTGTTGTTCATTCAATAAACTTTTTTCCAACACACTTATTTGATCCAAAAGTTCCTTTTCCCAAGCATCATGCTTCTCAACTACCTCACACATCTGTCATTTTCTCTATTTCATAGCTGTATTCAATGCCATTTCAGTTTCCTCTCACTCCATTTCCACTTCATCTTCTAACCCTTTTACTTTTGTTTCTAATTCTTCTTGTTTTGCTTTTAACTCTTTCTTTTGTTCAGTGAGTTGATAACCTTGCTTACTAAAACTTGAAATATATTTTGAACAGGTTGAAGCTAGTTCTTTTGAGCGATTAAAAAAGTCTTCTGACATTTACTCAGTGGTAATATTATTAAAACAAACTTTTTCATTTTCCCTTCTCACCTTTTCCCCTTCTAGTCATTTCTTACTCAATTGTTTGTATCATCAATGACCAGGAACATAATTGTTTTCATCAGGCTAAACTAATGCTTCAGATTTTTAGTTTAAGATTTCAATTTCTTGCTCTCTTTTATATATAATAAATTTTTATTTCTCTGCTCTAGTTCTGTTATTATATTTGCCATAATTTTCTAACTTTTTTTTTATTTATTCCTTTAATAATATATACTTGTGTCCTTTTTATGGGGGTATATTAAGTATATAAATTATTTTAGTGCTTTTTTACTTTAAAAAGTGGAATATTCATTGAAAATTTAAACTTATTAAACATAATGACAGTAAGGGACAAATTAACAAGAGATGATGTCATAGAAGTGATTTTATCCTAAATATTTTATTCATTGCCAGTATAGATTGGTCTTGGGCAAGTAATATCTTTAAATTCATCTCTAACAAATGGGCGAATATTATGATAAAGATATTCTTTATTTTACAGCTTTCTCCTTGGTGCCAATGATCATGGTGACTATCACATAGGAGTGGGCAGAGTCAAACTGCCGCCTTTATATTTGTAAGATACATGCTCTCATCTACACTCTTTTAACCTAGGGTGGGTTATATGGACAAAAGCCCTCATTTAAATAACAAGTTCAGTTGGTCAAATAAAAATTAAAGAAAAACAGAAATGATTAATTCATGTATAACATACTTGACCTATTTTATTTTACAGCTTTCCTCCTAATATCAGAGCCCTAATGCAATTATTGAGTACTTCCATTAATTCCTGGTCTAATTGATTTATATATGATATAGATAAATCTTCTAAATTTTTGCAAGATTGTGCAATTGATTGAAATAGCTTTCTCAAAGGTTCACCATCATTATAACTATAAACATCTAGATTTTTAAGATTTTTTCCATTGATACTAATAAAATCAGACAAATCTGATAGTTGATAATAAATATGTAGCTTCACAGATTCAATATTTGGCAGTGAAATATTTTTCCAGCTTATTTTGCAATCATCATGAGATGTTAACTGTAAAGTCTTTAAATTTTTAAAAGTTGGTAATAATAAATCATCTAAATTATCTCCATTGTAATAAGATTCATAAACAATTATTGATTGTGAATGTGTTAATATTGCTTCTTTTAATTCATTTGGTAAAATTAGAGCTGAACTTAGTGAAATGTTTAAATATTTAATTTGCTTTTGTGCTTTAATTAGCTGTGCCAATTTATACATATTTTTATAATTACCATCATATACTTTTAATGATTGAATATTTTTACAAATATTTGCTAATTTATCAAAAAGTTCACCACCATTATAATTATAAGAGTTTATTTCATAAAGGTTCTGAAAACAATTATCAAATCTATGATGATTAATTGACCCATTACAATTCATATAAGTAGCATTAAACTTTCTAATACCTGCTGAATGATCTAAAATAAAGCTTCTTAATTTATTTTGTAAAATTTGTGCAAGATTTAATGCTCTAGATTTTATTAGGAGTTGATTATAAAGATTAACTGGAAATATAGTAGAAAATCTGGCATAATTGTATAATGGTGGTTTCTCCAATAGCTTAAAATCTAATTCAATTCCAATCAAGGAATCTTTATCTTCTTTCAATAAACAATTAATTAATATTTTAACACTGTTAGGGGAATAAAATGGGTTTCTCCATAAAGTTGGAATATTGATATTGTGCCATTGTTTGTTGACAAGAATACAAGAATATAATGTTTCATAATCATCTTCAATGTATTTGAATATTCCGGTTAGAAGCTCAGGTGGAATACTTTTTATTTCAAACATTTTAAGAATAATTTGTTTGTTGCACAACGTAAATGAAAAAAATCCAATATTAATATATTGTAGATTTACAATTTATTATTACTAGCTAGCCGTATAATTATAATCATGTAGTTTTCTGCCAAAATTCATCCGCCGATTTGAATTCCCGTAAATTTTAATTTATTAATTGAATATTAATTTTTGGATATTTTAATTTATTAATTGAATATTAATTTTGGATATTTTAATTTTGGCAGATATCGAATATCCTCACGGGAATTCAAATTGGCGGATGAAATTTTTGACGGAAAACTACACTCATATAATTTATATGCGAAGAATTAATTATGTGTGAATATTATTGTATGAGTATTAAGATATTGTTATTATAATTGATTATATATTTATATGTTATATTCAGAACCAAATGGACTCCAGCCTTTCTTACAATTTATACTTGACAGAGACCACTAATTAGTGTTCCAATTCATATCTCTTACCCTATTTGAATATTTGTAATTTTATGAATAACCATAACACTTTCAATTATCTGTAATACTAATAATTTCAAATATCATAATATATATAATTTATTTTTTATTAACATGACAACATTTCATGTAATTAATTATATAAATTTTTTAAAAAATATAAAACTAAATATTACATTATTTACTAAGTATACCTGTATAATAATTGAAAAACAGACATTGAAATGATCATTGTTGATGACAAAAATTTTCATCAAAATCCACTAACATGATTCATTCAAATCTTTTTTTTATCTTTATTTAAATCAGCTATAAAGTTTAGACAGTAAATGAGTAATTGCATTTTGTAAATCAATCAACATTCTCCATGTATAAC